CTTTGCCAAAGGTGGCTCAAAAATGTCTTCCCTAGTCTGTCTATCCTAACGATATCCCTTCCCGCCTTTTCAACCCACCTCCTATGCCCCAGTACAGCTACCGTCCTTTCCTATCTATTCCATGCCTCAAACATCGCCGTGTACGTCTCATCTATTTTCCCCAGCTCGGTCACGTACGCTTCCCTTTCCTTGTACCACGGACATTCCGCGACAACATGAAGACGGTTTTCGCACTCGAAGCCGCAATCACATTTGAACTCGTCGTCTTCCTCGTCTACCGTCCTATGTCTTCGTCGACGTTCACGAAGGTCTATGTCCCCGGTCCTGAATTCGACCTTACGCTTTGTTCCTGCATCCATTGGTCCATGTAGGTAGTCCTTGAACCCTATTCCTTCCTTCAACATTNATGAACACGGTCTTCGCATTCGAAGCCGCAATCACATTTGAACTCGTCGTCTTCGTCGTCTACCGTCCTATGTCTTCGTCGACGTTCACGAAGGTCTATGTCCCCGGTCCTGAATTCGACCTTACGCTTTGTTCCTGCATCCATTGGTCCATGTAGGTAATCCTTGAACCCTATTCCTTCCTTCAACATTCCGTACACTTCTAGGCCCTCCTTATCCTTGGACTCTTTCCTTAAATTCTGTTCTTCTCTCTCGGCACAAGCAACAGATATCTTCTCCTTGAACCCCTGTAGACCCTCCGTTTCCAGCGTTTCATCTTCGTCGATGTCGAGCCCCTTCCATACGTCCTCTACAATCTTGACTCATTCCGCGGGTTGTCTATCCCTTTTTTTGTTTGCTCACTTCGCCTCCCATACAATTCTCGGCAACCTCTCCTCTCCCATCCCGCACATGCGATACTGCCATGTCAGCTTCCTTGCGTCTCTTCCCGGCGGTAGGGATTGGACCCCCAATTCTGCCCTGACGCCTGCATTACTTGCGCGCCTGGAGCATTCTAGGATGGTTTTTTTCACGCGAGTAGCAATACCTAGCGTTTGCCACAGCCACTCGCGTAGTAAGAAAGGGAGGTTGAATATGGGCATTCAACAAAAGTACCAAAATCACCGACAACACTTCGGAAGTTCATGAGCAGCTTCTGGGTCGTGTTTTTTTTCGCGGCTGGACACGCACGGAGTTGTTTGTGTCGCAAGTGTGCTTCGGGGTGTTGCTGCCTCTCCAGTGCTGTCGATCGTATTGTTGTTCTGCTTTTTTCGTTCTCTCATTTGTACGTTGAACATGTTCAATCCATCCTGAATGCTGGCTGGTCTCCCGCTCCCGCTCTCGTCTCTCGCTCTCTCCGAACGCGCAACGGAAAACAATCCCCAGACGGATCCGGGGGATACCGCCAAGATCCGAGAAGCCATCAAGGAGAACAAGGAGGCATGCTTGTGTCTCCTCAACTACAAGAAGGATGGCTCCACCTTCCACAACCAGTTCTTTTTGACACCCTTGTTTGACGAAGGGGGAACGCTAGTAAGTGAAAACAAATTGTACCTTTCTTAGGCCGTTCCGCGTTTTGGCGGCCTGGCGTACCCTTTGCCGTCATGATGTACCTCTTGATGTCCATTCACACCTTGATGATCTTGTCGGAAACTGATAAGAGGGATGCTGGCGAGTGAATGTACATTCGTACGTCTTCGGTGTCGTTCGTGTACCCTTTCGAGCCCCGGCGGGCGCATCTCGTCACCCCCGGGGTTCGATTGGCCGTGCTGTTTGTTAGAATTTTCTTTCGTTCATTGGTTCGATTGGCTGTGCTGTTCGTTAGAATTTTCTTGCGCTCACTGACCACCCCCGTGGCCCACGTCGTAGCTTAATTTCTCGTCCACCGTTGTCTTGCGGTTCGTCCTTTGTGTCTGTCGCGCGTGTGTATCTGCAGGCCTATTTCCTGGGAATCCAAGTACAAGTGAAGACGGCGTCGGATGGACAGGAGCCCGAGAACCCGGGCTGGGTCTACACGATGGGGCTCCACGCATGACGGCGTTGATAGGATTGGTGTGATTTTTACCTACTATCACCGATGGCCGTGACCAGAGCTGTAGACCCTCTCTTCCATCGTGTGACTTTAGGCTAGGGCGTGGGCATGCGCGGTCGAGACTGTGAGATGGGGTGTACGTTGCCCTCGCTATCACCGCCCCGGCAGATGAACGCACTTGGGCGTCCAGGCACGAGGCGTTATTTGAGGGAGGAGGGGGGAAAATGTTGGAGGTACCAAGCGCGACCGTGTTGGTTACCGTGTTCCGTGGCATACATTGCTAAACACAAGCCGGCAGGCGTGCCGGTGCGGGGTGGTGAAGGAATGCCGGTCGCGCGAAGGAATGAGCGTGAGCTGCACCGATGATGCCGAACGGAGAGCCCACAGGCTCCGCTTTAGTTCGCACTTGCGCTTGTGTGGATGACAGCTACGAGTGATTGCCTCGATACTTTTTGGAGTGATAGTCTCGATACGGTGTTCTCTGACATGTCCCCTGTAGGAAGAGCGTTAGGAGGCGGGGTCAACACGGGAGGAATCTGACTTGGGGAAGGAGGAACGATGGGGAAAGTCCTGGCCGACATGTAATTAGACTTGAGTCCCCGGCCAAGGGAGCATCGGATGCTCTCTGAATGTTGGCTCCCTGGCTGTTGGTGTCTTGTGATCATATAGTCAAGGGGTAACAGGAAGCGTGCGGCCGCACAGAGCGCCAAGTCCCATTTCGCCATCGAGGCTGTTGAAATAGAAAAGATGATAGACTAGGCTACGTTTGTGGTTCGACGTGTGGATTGATGGAATCGCGTCTCGAGCGTGTGTCGGGAGTTGGTATGTTGTAAGACATGATCTGTTTTCAAGACCACGGCACGGGGTGGTGGGTGAAAGGGGAGATCTGAGCGTGCGGAAATACGCGCAGAGGTTGCAGTACAGTGCTTTGACCCCATGTGCTCCATCCCCATGTCCGAGTCTGTCTGGTTTGGTGAACATCAGGTCGAGTGTTCCTTGTCAAAACTGTCTGATTTGGTGCACATATCGTGTGCTGTTTGGTTCATACGTTGTGTTGGAAGAGCTCGATTTGTCGTACCAGTAGGTCGCATATGATCTATAGATGGTGGTGCGAACTTGCTGCCTGTTCCGTACCGTTCTACCCCATATCCAGTGCCGGTGGAAATCACTGTACAACCGTATGCTGCAGGGGTGATGGGGTGCGCTTTTTGTGTTCTCGAGGTGCATCATTCTCGTTTTTTGAAGGTGCTTTCGTGCTTGAGGCATAGAGTAGAGTAGAAGGTTTAGAAAATTTGATGTGTTGTGATTTCGGATTGCGCGACCCGACTGCGGACGGACGATTCGCTGCTTTCTCTGCGAGTGGTTTAATAATCTCAAATAACATTTTACGGGTTTTGCTGCTGTGGGCGAGCTACATATTGCAGCTGCCGATACAACAGGACACGTACCGTCACGTGAGGTGTTCCCCCTGCCTCTTGAGCGGCAGACGGCGATGTAAGTTGTCGTTTGTTGGCTGGTGGGTGACATTCGCCCGGAGATCAAGCCAACGCGTTATCGTATGCAACTATCAAGGCCAGACGAAGAAGCAGCACCACTGAAAGGAGGCAGAGTCACCCCCATACTACCCTAAGTTGCACAACGTGCGACGCGCACGCGCACCTACCCCTCGTAATGAATCGGTTGTCAGTGCGGGAAGATTAGCTTGTGTTTTGTGGAAGCTCTCAACAAGGTGGTTCCATCCAACACCGTCCACCTTGACGGAAATGGGCTTCCTCCCATGCATACGGAAAGAATGATCTCGCGCATCCACACCCTTGTCGCTGCAAGAAATCGTGATTATGACCGCTGGCTGAACAACAATAGTGTGGGTCTGTGTGCATTGAATGTCACCCTCGCGTATTGGTAGCGATGATGGACCCTACATAGCGGAGCAATGCGTCCACGCAAAGGGCTTAGCAATATAAGACTTTCACCGACAAGATTTTATTCAAAGATTCACACAGAACGAGTGAGGATGAAATACAAGTCACTTTTCGGAAGCAACCGTCCAAAAAATAATATCCGTTTCACACCTCGCCATCATTGGATGTGGCACCGCACCGCACACTTCCGCTGTGTGTAGTAGATCTATCTCTGTCGCCACAGACCTATGTTAGCAACGTCGGCGATCTGTCTTGAGAGGCCGGAGCGATCGACACGGTAGCCTATTTGGGACGAAACTTGTCGGTCTTCACCCGTCTCCGCCAGCCGTGTTCGGTCTCGTTTGGGTGCAGCCGACAGACAGCTGCATCAATAGTACCAGCGGCCTAGCGTTTGAAGAGTCGTGTGTGTGCCTGGTGGACAACCGCCAGGTGTCCGAAAGAGAACTGGTTCGCGGGCAGACCTCACTGTACCACTGGGTGCTGGATACCTCGAGCACGGAGCTCGTCACAGAAGTGCCTCGAGGAAACCTGAACTTCGAAGTAAGGTGACGATGTTGGTGGCCGCCTCTGTAGTCTAGCTAGGCAGAATAACAAGTAGGGCCTCCGGTTGGGCGCCTCAAGACGGAGGCGAGGATCACATCGAGGGCCTACACATAAAACTACAGCCAGGCAACGGGGCACTCAACCTATTCGTAGAAACCAGAGGTAATCCATTGAATGAACCACGTCACGACGGACGGTCATACAACAAACAGCTACCTCTAACCCCGTAACATTAGCCAATTTCTTATGTGATGTCTTGTTCTGTGTGTTGCAACCCTTCTTGTTGCACCTACAGAGAACCCACTTTACAAGATTGCAATGCGTTCCGGCGATATACGTATAAAGAGGGCTCTGCTGTACGAATAACTTCACACTCGGAACAAGTATCCGCCGGTCGAGTTCCTCGTCGAAACGACTCAGTCGATTACAGCCAAGCCCACTAAAAATCAGGGTCTGGCGTTTGTCGCACCCTTTCCGTGTATCATCAGCTATCTCCGTGCAGTGGCAGCGCGCGCATGGAAGTCAAGTCATCTAGCCCAAGCTCGTGGCCGTTCCTGTCCACGTAAAGTTCGGAAGATGACTTCAACCCGGCGGCACTTGCCATTTCGGTCCAGGTGAAAGTTGTTTAAGCTTTCGACGCTGTGTGGTACAGCAACAGTAGTACGAGCAATGCTCGCGATTGGTTGTGGTCGAGACGAGTATCACGCAGCTCGTATGAAGACTAAATCTACTAGTCTAATCTGCTGGCGACGTACCGCCAGCAATATGCGTAATATATCGATCGCATGCTTCATACATAGTCTATGCAAACATCTTAAGACTACGGGACATCCCCGGTCATGGACCCGCCCACCCTTGGTCGGAAAAAAACAGCAAGTTTGGTGATGCAGATGTAGCCGATGCAGAATACTGTTTTTTTGAAACCGTCGAATTTGCCACAGCTTTTTTTCCCGTTTATTTCGGGGTATCAGATAAAGAAGAGCTTTTGGAGTGGTCACTTTCTCGGAGAGTTCATGATGTGCGAGGAGAAGGCCCGCTGGACAGGCGTGCAATAGAACTACACAACAGTAGTAGGAGCACTCAGAGAGAGGGATACAAAGGATTGGCCAGGTTAGGAGGCCAAGAAATTGCGTTCTTTCGTCATGGAAGTCCTGAAGGTTGGGATCGGGTTGGAGGACGGAATCACGCGCCTGGAGATACTTCGTCAGCGGCTTCAGGAAGGGGTTGAGATGGCCCGCGCCCACTGTCGCCAACACCATTCGAAGATGACTGATGCTGCCACCTTTAAAGTAATGGCGGACATGGTCGACGAGGACCTTGGCCAACGGACGTCCACGTGGTTCACAAGGGCTTTGGCGTTCAAGAAGCAGCACCCGACGCCACCACACATCGAGTCCATGCCACCGGTGGTCGGACCTCAGTGGAGCATCACCGGAAATTTCATTGTATCTGGGGGCTGCGTGACATCGTCCTCCGCGGCAACCACTCGATCATGTCTCCGACCAAGCGTCTCCGCCCGGGGGATTCCGGCGACCGCTGGTGTTATATGGAGGACAGACCGGGGGGGTGTACACGCCGAAATTGCCCATGGGACCATGCCAAGAAACCCAACCGCCACACAAGCGCTGGGAACGGAGGCGCTTGCGGTGGGCTCGATCAGGACACGGGCACGGAAAGCGGAGAGCGCGGTGGAGCTGTGGGCGGTGAAGGACGACGTGGTGGCCGCGGGGCGGCAGCGGTGGCAGCGGCGCAGGAGGCCGAGGCAGTGGCGGAGATGGCGCGGGCGGTGTTAGCCGCCGTGGCGGAGTACCTGATAGCCCGTAGGGGTAAGGGCTCGACCGCACGCCCGGACCAATCTCCATCAGTCAGCGCGCCAGGTTTCCGGAGTTTGTGTATTTTTCGTAGGCTGAAGGGGCTGAATTATTCTTGAGAAGAGATGCTTCGCCCGAAAAGATGGTGTGGGCTTTGATAGACGTTGCTGCTTGGTGTTTTGAGTAGCACACGGGATGAGGTTAGTGGCGCGCACTCGGGGTATAGAGCAAACGGCGGTGCCATGGCTCTGATAGTGGAATTGATGTCTTGTCATGCGACGCTGCCCGACGACGCGCCACTGTCCTCGTACCGTAGTGGTCGTGAAGTCAAAGAGCTAAGGTATGGCCAGTCTCTGCGGGCACTTGGAGAGGTAGTCAAGAAGTCGGGGCGTGAACCAAAAGACTTTGCATTGCCCTCCCTTCCAAGCTGGGGAGGTCGGGAACGAGTAATTCAGAGGTCAGGGAGGTGAATGTACGATGCGTACAAGCTATACACAGAAACCAATGTGGAGGGTTCGCGACGGGTGTCGAGCTTATTAGGCGATAAGGAAATTGGAGCGGCGAGACAGGCGGGGGAGAACACGGTGCGGGTTAGCAGGAAGAAGAGATGTTCCACTGTAGTGAACCCATCATGACGACGTCGAATTGGGTAGAACAAATGGTAGAGTACCATTTGGGGACTTGATCGTCTGGGAGGTTCCGGACAGTAAATAGCGTTCCCCATACCGGTGGAAATATAAACCCCGGATTGTGTTCTTAGGGAAGATCGAGAAACAGTGGTACTGACGGACAGAGGCACGGTTGGACAGGAGCAGAGGGAGTCTGCAAGAATCGTGTTCTGTCAGTGTTGTTTCTCTCTCTTTCCCGCGTGTGAAAAGAACACATCAGAGCGAACGTGGCAATTGGAAAGAAAAACAATAAACAGATCGTGAACAACAAAAATATGCCCACCTCCACACGCGAAGCTACAGCTCTGATTGCCCGCTTGTTTTCACGCGAGCTTCTTGCGCACCCGCCGGCAAACAACAACGACAGGCAAACGAGCACGCAGTATTCGTGACGGCGGGAAATCTCACCAGTTCTTCCAGCTTCGATCTGGCGACGTACAACGCGCTCAGCGATACACCAAACCCGGGCGGTGACGGCGTCCTTTCAGCCACAATGCCCACCTCGAATTCCGCTGCCATCTCCATTAGCGCTTCTGATGTGAAAAGAAGCAGTCGTCCACGCTGCCCGTGTCCCCCGTTTCCTCGTTAAACATATGTAGACTAGGCTACATACATGTAGTCCAACCCTCAGTTGCCAAATATTGATCCAACTACCCGTCTAATTACTTTTGGCGCACGGAGGTCCGAGCGACGGTAAGTTTCAATTCAATGTTCTGTACGAACAAAAAAATGGTGGGGCCTAGCCGGTGGCGACGATTATTGGGGGCTCCCACGTGTCAGGGCCGCCAACCACGACGACAATCAATCCGCATTTTATTTTTTGTTTGCATATTTCTTTGCTGACTTCCCAAACGGGTGGAGATTCGCCCGTTCGCCGTAATCAATGAAAGACGAGCGGGGCTAGAAACTTGAGCTACCGCCTATACTGGAGTGACCTGTCCACCTGGACGGGGGCAGAGTATGAATGGGAGGTAACTTCCGGTTGCGTGATCCCTACGGGTGGCCTCTCCTTGCTGGAGAATCCGAGCTGCCTGTTCTCGTCCGCGTGCGGGATGTACCGGGCGTCGGAAGGCATGTTTGACTGGGTGACCCTGCCAAACGACACCGGCGAGTACAGCTTCGAGGTGAGTGTATACAGTCTGCGCTCGTAGAATCGTCAATTTGGGGGTCGAGACTACGTTCCTTATTTCGTCACGACCGTCGAGCATAATCTAGGGCGTTATATCGAGTTAGGGTAGGATTCACGGCTGATGTGTGTTTCTTTGTCGGTTATTCTTTATATATCGCCAAAATGTGAGCAATTGCTTTTCATTTGGGTCGGTTTCTTGATCGCGGGTGCTAAATAGTGTGTTGCCTTTATTGATGAAGGCGATGCTCTTGTTGTTCGTTTCGCCGTCTCTCTCGTTCCTATGCGTTTCAGTGTTGTCGTGCCATTGATCCTGGCAGAAGGTTCTCTTCACCCTTGGCCGTCGAAATCCTTCGCACTGATGCTCGAAACACATAGGTCAATCTGTTGGAGGTTGTGTTGATGCCAATTTCGGATGAGTTGGGGGGATGGAATGCCAACTAAGGCTGTCTGGCCCTGTCTGGCACCGACAAAGTTATCGCAATAACTGGATGCATGGTTCATGGCCCTGTGCATGCTCATCACCAAACTATCCGTCTGTTGGTCGGTTGCCCACATGTCGGGTGTTGATATCGTTGGTGTCTCCTTGTGCACTATTTCCTAACGATTTGCTCCTCCATGGCTCCTCAACCACCAGCGGTTATCGTCAGAGTTGACTTCAACGCAGAAAAGAACCATGCACTCTGCATCAGTACGCGAACGAAGTGTTGAAACACCTAAAAAAACAAATCGACTCCTTCATTATGATTCACCGTGTGTGGGAGATAGCGTTCGGATGATCCCTCTGCGTCTTCGTTTTTGTTGTCGTTGTTGTCAATATTGGTTTATCTGGACGTCGACTTCGTCGTCGTCTTCGTCGTAGTTGTTGACCTGTCTGCCGGTGCAGATCGGCATCCAACGCGGCACGTGCCTCAACGAAATAGAAGTAGTACCAACAATGGAAATGAACCAAAAAACAACAAGTCATCGAATGCCACGAGGGCGATGTTCTGCTGACCAATTACTGTACAAGTAGATGAGTTCCGACATTCCCAACACAAAATCCGATGGTTTAAGATGTAAAAACAAATCTCGTATCCAGTCCTCTAGGAGCACAATCGTATCCAGTCCTCTAGGAGTACACAAACGTGACAATTCACACCGCCGCCCGCTCTTCGCAGGCGCCGGTCTCGCGTGGGGCCCAGTACATCTTCAACGTGGCCATGTGGGACTCGAACGACGTCACGTCGGCCTACCGGGCGTCGAACATGACATTCACCTTCACCAATTCTCAACAGTGCGTTGCTGACCAAGGCTGCCAGTCTCAGGTAAAGATACCCTCTGGACCGACCTTCAACGCAAATTAGAACGTGGCGCGTTGGAACCACCTCGTCGAGAGCTTTTCGAAAACCCGTGATACTAGCCTATTCGTACCGTCATTGTGCAACTCCTAACCGTTTCATTTTTCATGACAACATTCCTATGTTGTTGTTGGTGATCCTCGATTACCAAGGTGTGAGGTCCTTGTAGAGTGGACATTTTCGAAGGTTGTGGTATGCATTTTCCCACTACTATCGCTCGCTTCTGCGTTTGGTCCCAGGAACTTTTTTCGTTGTAGTGGCAGTGTGTACCATTACGTCACGGCCACGTCGGTCTGCGTGGTCTCCGCCTCGTATTATGTGTCTGGCTGCGCTTCGCGAGGAGCAAGTAGGCGCGTGTCCGTTCCAAGGATTGCGAGACGGACGTGTAACGGAAGTGTACTGAAAAAGTTAACTAAAGCATCTCTTAGTCGCTGAAAAACCTTAAGTACACGTCGACGCGAGGACAATAATTGTTCTCTCCTCTTTTGTAGCGAGATATATCATGGCAGACGGGGTATGGAAAACAGCGATTATAATTCGGAATCGGTCATAATGTAGCCGTGCCCTTTTTCCACAAGAACAAACCTTCTGAATTCATTCGTTGCCGTCACCCCGCTGCGATCCAGCAGAGCTTCTTCGGAGCATGTGGTGCTACTATCCCTGTTGGTTGCCCCTTCTTTTTACTCCTGGTCAAGAAGGATGTCTACAGAGATCGTCAACGGACAACCTTGCACGCTGCTGCTGTGTTCACCGATCGAGCGAGGTGATTTCCCAATCCTGAGAACGACGCCCGACGACAAACTGCCAACACTCCGCGCCGTCGCCTAGTTGTCTGGTTCAGGTCTACGATGATTTTACCATTATCATCGCGGTGTGCTCTTGTGCTGCGGTGAGTCTCGTGCTACTCGTCGGCACCACTCTGTGTCCGCGCCGCAGCATGAAGCGAACCATGATTAAGGCAGTACGAAACAATGCGATTCACGCCCGGTGGGTACGGTCTGGTCTATGCAGCCCATTCGTGTACGTTTTTTTGTTTGCGCGTGCATGGGAGATGACTGCTGTAGCACATTGCGCAAATCGTACGCCAATACCCTTTCAAGGGTGAGTTTTCTGCATATTGCGGCTAGTGTCGATGACCCTGCCGCCTGAGGTTTTTCCTACGGTCTTTGAATTTTATTCTTCTGCGGATGGTTGGGGGGGGGTGTAAGGACACTACCGGAGGCCGTAGGGCGTTCGAGGTACAACGGGAGGCATGACGAATACTTGAAAAACGGTGTCTTTTCGTCCAGTGCGGTTCCACCCTACAGACATTTACCGGTTGCCAGCAGTTTGGTACGGAAAACCTATTCCAAACAAAGGCTCTTCTTGTTGTCTTCATCTTCGACGTTTTCTCCGCCCCAGTCTCTGGTTCTGTCTCCTTTTCTGTCCGTGCCGTCTGTGCACGTTGTGCGTTCTGATCGTGAATATCGACTGTAAGACGATGTCGGTCGACGGATGACAACATGCGCACCTTGCCTTAGAGTTTCCGAAAACAACAATACAGTGAGAAAGATAGACCCATCGAAGCTAACAGAAATGGTCGCTATCAATCTCTCATCTTCCTTTCTCCGCCCCTATTCCACACAAAAGACGCGCCCTGCATGCTTTACCACAAAGGCTTCAAGCAAGCGCTCAAGGGCGTCCACCTTCTGTCGCCTCCACCGCCCTCGATGTTTGCGGACAAGGACGAGGGTACGCCGCCGATGTCAGTCATCGACACCTGGCGAGAATCAACCGCAAACCTTGCTCCTAACGTACCAAGCCGAGTCCAAACCATGCTCGGGGAAGCATTCCAGGTCACCTAGAAGAACCTCATCACGATTGAGATAACTACATATGTAGTGTGTATGACTCGTAGACCCGGTCACCGAGCTACTAACCACTTTGAGAGGGATCGCACTTCGTGTACGCTTCCACCCCTCACAAATCGGGGAATGCAAACAGCAAGCACGCGCAGTAATGTGGAAAATCTGACATGAAAGGGTGCAAACCGGAGTCTATCAAAGGCGTTGCACATTGCGTATGTATCTAACGTACAGTAAATAATGGCAGCGGGGAAGAACACCAGCCCCTCCCTACCACGGGTGAGTTTGTCTATTTTTGCCAAAGCCCAGTCACAAGAACAATCTACTCCGACGCTTCGATCGACTACCACGTGCAGAGGTATCACTACAGTGCGGTTGGGAATTTCGCACCTACATATCCACAGTACGTTCCATTTCAACACTCTCCCCCTCGCTCTGAGAGAGAGAAAAAGGTGTGCTAACTTCGACGCTTCGATACGAAGCATCTGTATGGACGATGAGCAAACTGTCGTTCGGCAAGTGCCCCACTTCCTGAACGAGGTGCTCATCACGCGTTCCCACCGTTCAGCCGTACTTATCATGTAAGGACCGGGAACGACAGGCACAGGAGCAACATGCCGCAAGGTACCCCGGCGGATGTCGTGAAACACACGTAGGAATGAATATTACGACGTGGTATTGCCTTTCAACAGAAGCACTGGTCCATCAAGAAAGCCATTCGAAGAATTTGCCAAGGAGAATGTCACCCACGCTCCTTGTCCCTCCCGGCCATCGTTTGTTCTTGGTTCATCGCTCACATCATTTTGCAAAGACAACGGCGGCAGCAGCAGCAGAGTCAACCGGATCCCGGCCGCTTCTCTCACCCACTTCGGAGGTGGTGAGGGCGTACGTTGAGCAACACAAAGGAAATGACTCCAACGGGGCGAGATGATGAAATGTTGCAAAGGAAGACACCCTCAAGCGAGCCCAATTCTTGCCGGGGAGTAGTAGGTGGGGATTACCAGTCGCTGGCAGTCACTTAAACGAGTTGTAGGGGCATCTGTCCTTTGATCCGTTTTTTGAGGTGGGGGAGGGCTACATATAATATTAATGAAGACAACATGCCTCTCAGACGTCCAGTAGACGGGCGGGCGTAATTGGAAACGGCTTGTGACGATTTCTCTGCGCATGTGCAGTGTGACGTTTGCAATACCTCCGCCTTTACACACCTGGGGCAAAATGCATGCATGTCACCTCCTTACGAAATTCGTCGTCCAAGGTCCCCCTGTCGGGGCTTGGCATACCACCCGCTACGCCTGACGGAGTCCGAAGCATGTGATTTCGTGTTGTTGTTTCTTTGCCCTGTGTGCGGACCCATGTTGACACGTGGTTCTCCTTCATGGTTTCTTGTACGTTCGGCCCTACGTGGATACGCTTGCTCGGTAGGTAGTCCCATCGGTGGCGACGGTGACACCGACGGCACCTCAAGCAACGGCGACCCTCAAGCGCCCACCATCCGCCACCAGCCTTCCCGCGAAAGCAGGGAGTACGTATTCTCACGACGTACATGATAGGCGTGTCACCGCAAGAACACAAGAAGGGTTCGCGGAGAGAACGGGAAGTGTGGCCGTGAAATCGCCAGGTTATCCGCAATAGCCGCAACCGCAACAACGTGAATATTATCATCAACAACAACCGCAGTAACAGCAACAACGACAACAACCGCAACAAGAGGTCCAAAGCATGAAGAGCACTTTCTCCTCGAGCTATCATGAGTTCACCCCTCAGCTGCCAACAGAACAACGACAGGTCTTCACGCAACGCCGTCAACAACACGGAAGAGCACGAACAGACAGCAAAGGAAGAAGAACGTGGCAACGCCACGCCCTCCCGGTCGCTCGACAAGCGGAGGATGAACAGAAACGCTCTCGAGGACATGCAGAAGACCAAGAAGAACACCCTCACCCCCACGCGCTCGCACTAGAGGAAGGCGATGCTGGCAATGGCAAACAATGGTTCAGTTTGATGATGGCTGGGGGAAAACTCAGAAGACCTCGTGCACACGTCAGAGACGATTGGTGTTGTCTCAGGTGTTAGTGGCTGTGAACACGTTTTCTAGCAAACGGGCGTTCCGTTCTTTTATTGTACGCGTGATGCATAGACTGTTACCTGTCGGAAAACAAGATCTCGCACGCCCTGCCCCACGCTTTTGTGGCCACGTAGCGTAGCTATCTTCATCTTTGAAGCACTCTGTGTTGGCTAGGCTGTATTACACGGACCCCAGATATAGAGATGGACGCTGTTTGGAAAAATATAGTTTCTTATGGAGGCGGCTTCGGTTGTTGATTTTTTTTTTTCCCTTCCGGTGCCCATCTCTATTTTCGCTGTGGCACTGCAATGTATCGTGTGCCTGCACCAAACACCAGCAGAACCGACTGGGTGATTGAAGACGAACACGTTTGCCACATTGAGGGTGGCGACTTTATTCCGTGAGGGCACCGCCAAAAAAAGAGAGGACGCTGCAACTCATCCGTCCCTCCCTCCATATCATCGTACGCAGACACTAAAAACGGGCCCGTGTGTCGTGGTACATAGTAATACCCCGGCACTTTGAACAAGAAAATCAGTGCGCGGGTGCCACGACTTACGATACTTGTTGGCAACATGCAAGAACACCCTGCAACCGAACCCTTTTGTGTGTGGTTGGTATGAAAAAACGCTTCCGAAAAGAACAGCACGGGACGTCTCTACTCAAATATCATCCCAATTCGCGAGCACATACATACTCGACTTCCTTGTGCACATTTTACACCTCTTGGACCGAAGATAGAGCACTCCATCATTACGATGAAGCCTTCGCAGTGACACCCACCGGTGGCAGAAATGGGAAAGCTTATATTGGCTCAAACAAAAGGAAATCGATCATGAAGCAGCAACTCCACGAACCAAGAAACAACAAACGGAAACGAACAAGGGCCGAAATCACCCGAAAGAAACCGGAGGCGGCAGCATCAACAAAAAAGCTGCTTGTTCGGCTCGCAAGGACGACACAAACAACAGAAAAGTTGCTTGGCCCTCAGCACAGACGCCCCCCTTTTCCATTGATCGGTCGAAAACTCCAAGGGCCTACAGCAGACGTCCAAAGAATCAAACATCTGGCTACTTGTCGCGAAAACAAATGGTGGTTGGGAAGACTTGCGCCAGAGGTCCCCGGGCCTGGATGCCCCAGTCGTACTTGCCGCCTCGCGACACGGCAACCCCGTCCTCCGTCACTCGGACCTCGTACGTGAAGTCTTTCTGGAGAAAACCGAACCAGGAAGGCCCGGACTTCCGAAGGACGATGGATCCGTCCACCAAGACCTCCTGCGCAGGTGCACGTACATTGCAGCGGTTGCCGCTTTTGTTAGGGAATATGGGTTTCTGTAGATGTTAAGTGAGGAGACCCAGTGTGCCTGCGATTCTTCTCCCACCATGTTTGACTTTTACCGAAAAAAAAAAGTAGCAGTGAGGGGGAGCTCACCGACGAAGGGAAGAGGTACACGCCAGTTTACAGAGGCGGGGGAGGGCGGATGGGAAAGTGTTTGCCGGATGCATCGAGAGAAACCACCCGATTGCCAGTGAACATCATCTCGCATGATTCGCATCCTGCTACAGCTACAAGTCTTGCCGCCCCGCAACGAACCAGGTCTCTCTTGTTCGTGACGGAAGCGTCGCCTCCCTCAAGTGCTCAGCCGCGTGTTCCCTCGCTCGTCGCCGGCGAAAGCCGTGCTTTCCGAAGGGCAGAAAACCCAAGACGGTGACCTTCGACATGCATCGCGGGTTGGCCTCTAGCAAGGTCCGCCTCGTCAGCGACGCCGGTTCGATGGTCCGGTCCTCGAGGTCCCCCGACGGCCTTCCGGTGGCCGTGACGTGCACGACGGAGCCGTCGATGGACGTGGCGTACACCATGGCCGTCTTGGCGGGGTTCGGGAGTCTCCCGTGCAGGAAGTCTCCGACAAGCACGTCGAAGTCCGGGTGGAGCTGGAAGTGGTCGGGTGAGTACGTAGGTCCTTTCTTGTCGTTGCCGTCGTAGCTGCTGCTGTCGTTGCTGTTGTGGCTGCTGCCGTCGTTGCTGTTGCCGTTGCTGCTGCTGCTGCTGCTGCTGCTGCTGCTGCTGCTGCTGCTGTTGTTCCCGCCGTCGCTACCGTCGCTCTTGGGGTCCCTCTCGTCCTGTTGATCCACCTGCTGCACCGGCGCTTGGTTCTTTGATGCGGCCCCCGAGATAGATTCGGGAATAGGCGAAGCATCCTTGCCTTCGTCATCACCCTTGGTCCGGTCGCCGTCGTGGACCGAGGCGCGAAGATTGGGCCGTTCGCGGGCCCTCTCCACCACGTCGCCCGCAATGGGGTTGTCGCCGGCCCTGTGCACCAGCTCGGCGATCAGAGTATAGCCGCCTTTTTGTTTTTCGTTCAGCTTTGGCGCGATCCGACGAAGTGATCTCAGATGGCGAATGAACAGAGGACGTGACCGTGGAAGTGGGAACGGTATCATGAGTCGGGACGTTCTTGTCGCCATCACCATCGTTGGGGTCGGCAGCAGTGGAAAACGGCGCAGGGTCGGGCTTGTGGAGGAAGGGTTCTTTGGGCAAAGAAACCGGGTCGGCCACGTGCTGTTGTTGTTTGGATGCGCGTGGTACGTGGGCGGGAGACCGCGGCAGCGAGAGAGGGGACGCGGGGAGGCCAGTCAGCGCAGTGTATTGTCAATACACTTCCCACAACAAGTGGCGTTGAAACGCACGTAGGATTCAGAGAGGACACGAAAATTCAAGATCGCGTGACCACCCGCTATCCCGCACCCAACAGGTCGCCAACACATGTATGTTCTGCAACAAAATTAACAGTGCCAATGAGAGAGTCGAGCTTCCTCTAGACCCTCAAATGGCCTGAACCATGTCAATAAAAAATATATATGTAATCACGGTCCTCGTACAATACGGCATGCTTGCAACACCAGGACCTATCTACCTTTATGCGCTCACCCCTGAGAAATGGGCTACTCCCGAACGCAACCGACAGGTTAGTGCGCCTCACCATGTCGCTGACGTCTGCTGCTGCTGCTGCTGCTGCTGCTGCTGCTGCTGTCCCTTCGGTGTTCTCACATACATGCACAGCTGGACGAACGCGGTGTAGTGTGGGTCGGAGGCCAAGGCGTATTCCTGTCGGACAACAACATGGTCACATACACGGCCACATTCGTCGTTGTGTCTGCTTCGAAGGTTCATGCATGTAGACGATAGTTTTCTTGAGTTTTCTCATAGTGAGACGCACACGTCGGTTGCGTTTCGGGAGGCTGGAATTATAGCCCCGTGAGGGGGTCTATATTTTTTTTGAGAAATGCGCTGGACGGTGAGACTAGTCATCGAGACACACAACTTGTTGGACAAATGTTGGGTTATCTTACGTGACGAACATCAATGACAATGCCGTCGACGTCTGCTGATGCTGATGCTGATGCTGATGCTGATGCTGATGCTGCTGTGGATGTGGTGTTCTCACATGCACAGATGGACGAACGCGGTGCAGGGTGGCTTGAAACTCAAGGCTCAGTCCTTTCCGGCAACAACAAGATCACATACACGGCCAACTCCGTGGTTGTGTCAGCTGATAAGATACATGTACATACCTACTTTTTTAAGTGCATGTATCTTATCAGCTGACACAACCACGGAGTTGGCCGTGTATGTGATCTTGTTGTTGCCGGAAAGGACTGAGCCTTGAGTTTCAAGCCACCCTGCACCGCGTTCGTCCATCTGTGCATGTGAGAACACCACATCCACAGCAGCATCAGCATCAGCATCAGCATCAGCATCAGCATCAGCAGACGTCGACGGCATTGTCATTGATGTTCGTCACGTAAGATAACCCAACATTTGTCCAACAAGTTGTGTGTCTCGATGACTAGTCTCACCGTCCAGCGCATTTCTCAAAAAAAATATAGACCCCCTCACGGGGCTATAATTCCAGCCTCCCGAAACGCAACCGACGTGTGCGTCTCACTATGAGAAAACTCAAGAAAACTATCGTCTACATGCATGAACCTTCGAAGCAGACACAACGACGAATGTGGCCGTGTATGTGACCATGTTGTTGTCCGACAGGAATACGCCTTGGCCTCCGACCCACACTACACCGCGTTCGTCCAGCTGTGCATGTATGTGAGAACACCGAAGGGACAGCAGCAGCAGCAGCAGCAGCAGCAGCAGCAGCAGACGTCAACGGCATTATCGTTGTTGATGATTGTCAAGAGAATCCAACCCGAATAACAAGTTGTGTGTCTCGATGACAAAACCTTCAGTTTATTTTGCAATATATATACACAACCTTACGGGGCCAATTCCAGCCCGCCCAGCGGGCTACACATGGGGTTTTATCCTAGTCAGTCATGCCTACTCAACATTAAAGCACACCATCTTGGGCGGAGGGAGGAGTTGAAGGCGGAGAATACTTGACCCCGAAAAAGTGCGATTCGCTCTGTGTGCTACTACTCACCACAGTGCCGTCAAGCGGCTGCTCAAGCCACGTGGTGACCTGAAAGTCGATGGATCCCAGCATCAATAGCACGGGTTGGTCCTGCATTGTCTGTCAAAGGTGGTTCGTATATATTTGAGAAGTGGGGTGGGGACGTATTTTGTTTCGTATTTCAGTAACCGCTGAGAGGAGAGGTGGAGACAGTCGCACTGAGACTGCTGACATGTTTTCATTGGTCATCCAGTTCGGTACTGTAGGTCGATGCAATAACAAGAAGGAGAGATAATTTTTCACCGTCACTTCTAGAGCGTCTTCTTGTACACCAACAAGTACTGGTTATTTAGAGCGAACTTTAAGAACCAATCATCATACGGAAAAATCGGAAACTCAAACCTACAGTACATGTGCTGTAGTATCAATCCGAAAGCAGGGTTATTTGAATCTTCTTCCCGTACCATTGCAACGAACGTAAGACTTCTTCACGCTCCAGTGCACTTGCCTCAGTCTTTGCCAAGGACACCGTTGGGGCTTGGATAGTGAGGCGGGCCCCTCGGTGTACGATCAGCGTGAGCCCCATCGTGGTGATTGACGTGGGCGAGCGGATTTCCGTGTCCCCGCTCATGAACTCGATCGTCTGTGTACTTACACCACGTCTGTGTACGTACACCAATGACGAAAACATTTTACGGGAAATGTTTGTGTGTGTACTCGGAAGGATACGAATCTCCGAGACCTCCGGGGGTTACGCAGATTATATATATATTATATCACGATTCGTCTAATGAGTCCTACATCTTGATTAATGAATGCATTCGCTGCATACGGGGTTAGAATTTTTTTTTTT